AGAATGACCTTTATCAAAAAGCCCCCCAAAAATAAATGTTGGTATGGTTACAGAGAGAGAGGAACACTCCTACACTGCTGGTGGGACTGCAAACAAGTACAACCTCTGTGGAAAGCGATATGGAGATACCTTAAAGAGCTACAAGTAGAACTACCATTAGATCCAGCAATCCCATTGCTGAGCATCTACCTAAAGGAAAAAAAGACTTTCTATAAAAAAGACATCTGCACTAGAATCTTTATAGCAGCACCATTCACAATTGCAAAGATATGGAAACAACCCAAGTGCCCATCAATACGAGTGGATTAATAAAAGGTGGTAGATATATACCATGGAGTTCTATTCAGCCACAAGAAACAATGGTGATCTAACACCTATTATATTATTCTGAATAGAGCTGGGACCCATTCTACTAAGCGAAGTGTCACAAGAATGGAAAAACAAGCACCACATCTACTCACTCAAATTGGTATTAACTGATCAACACTTATGTGCACATATAGTAGTAACATTCATCAGGTGTCAGGCAGATGGGAGGGGGAGGAGGGGATGGGTAGACACACACCTAATGGGTGCGGTGCTCACTGTCTGTGTGATGGACATGCTTGAAGCTCTGACTCAGATGGGCAAAGGCAATTATGTAACCTAAACATTTGTACCCTGGTAATATGCTGAAATTTAAAAAAAGAATATTCCTTTCAATAAAAGGTGCTAAGACATATCCAGATGCAAAAGAATGAAATTGAACCCTTCCCTCAATGGATCAAAGAACGAAAGAAAGAACAAAAGAACGAAAGAAAGAACGAAAGAAAGAACGAAAGAAAGAACGAAAGAAAGAAAGAAAGAAAGAAAGAAAGAAAGAAAGAAAGAAAGAAAGAAAGAAAGAAAGAAAGAAAGGCTTAAATAACTAATTATAAGAATTAAAACTGTAAAACTCCCGAAGGCAAATTTCTATGGTCTGAATATGTTCCCCCAAATGTATGTGTTGGAAACCTACCCTGCACTGCAACAGTGTTGGGAGGTGGGGCCTGACAGAAGGTATTTAGGGCGTGAGGGCTTCACACTCACAAATGGATTGACGCCACCTTGAAAGGGCTTGCAAGAATATGTTTGCTGTTTTTCACTCTTGTGCCATGTGAGCACACAACACTGTCCCCACTTGCTCTTCTGCCTTCTACTGTGTGAGGACGCATCAAGAAGGCCCTCACCAAGTGTCAGCGCTTGTTCTTAGGCTTCATAGTCTGTAGAGCTGTAAGAGGATACATTTCTCTCCTTTATAAATTTCCCAATCTGTGGTATTCTGTTATAGAAGCACAAAATGGACTAAGACACAAGTACAGGAATAAATATTTGTCACCTTGAATTTGGCAATGGTTTCTTCAATGGAAGCACAAGCAAAAAAAGAAAAAGATAATTTAGACTTCATCAAAATTAAAAACATCTATGCTTCAAAGAACACTATCAAGAAAGAAAAAGACAACCTACGGAATAGGAGATATTTGCAAATCTTATACCTAATAAGCAACCTGTACCCAGAATATAAAAAGAACTTATACAAATCAATAATAAAGAGACAACTCAATTCAAAAATAGTTCCTGAGAATTCATACAAACTGCCAATAAGCACATGAAAACAGGCCCAACATAATTAGTCACTAGGGAAATACAAATCAAAACCATAATGAAACAATACTTCAAACTCACTAGGATGGCTATAATAAAAAAATCAATCAATAACAAGTGTTGGTGAGGTTGCAGAGAAATTGGAAACTTCATATACTGCTGGTGGGAATGTAAAATGTTATAGCCACCTTGGAAAACAGTCTCCTCAAAACATTAAACATAGAGTTAGCACTAGACCAAGTAACTTTGCTCCTAGGTATATACTCAAAAGAAATGAAAACATACATGCACACAAAAACTCCTACATAAAAGCTCATGGCAACATTATTCATGCTAGCCAAATGGTGGAAACAACTCCAATATTCACTAAGAGACCGAATGAATAAACAAAATGTGGTATGTTCTTACAGTGAAATAATATTCAACCACAAAAAGTAATGAAGTACTAATACATGCTACGACCTGGATAAACCTTAAAATACTATGTTAAATGAAAGAAGCCAGTCACAAAGAACCACATAATATATGATCCCACTACATGAAATGTCCAGAATAGACAAATCAACAGAGAAGAAAAATAGCAGTTGCCTAGGGAAGGGGGGCGGGTGGGGGAGAGTCGGGGGAAAGAGCAAAAGGGCGTAGGGCTTCTTTTAAGGGTGATGAAAATGTTTCCAAAATTGATTGTGATGATGGTTGCACAACTCTGTGACTACACTAAAAACCATTAAATTGTACCCTTTAAATAAGTGAATTGTATGGTATGTGAATTAGATCTCAATAAAGCTGTTACTAAAAAAAAAAAAAAAAAGAAAAAGAAAAAGAAAAAAAATTCTGAGTAAACTAGGAGTGGGAGAAAATATCCTAATCTGTTAAAGAGTAACCATCAGAAAACAACAAATACCAAATTAAGTTTCTATTAAAATCAGAATGAAATTAGAATGCAAACTTCCACTGCCACCCAAGACTCTATTTCAGATACAGTCAAGCTAATGCATTAAAAGAAGGAAAAACAGATATCCAAATATTGAGGAAAGGAGGAGAAAATACTGTCAATATTTTCAGATGGTAATATTATCTATCTAGCAAATTTAAGAAAATGAGCCAATAACTACTGGACCAAGGTAAGGGTTCAGCAAACTAGATAGATATGATATTAGCAAGCAATGATTTTGCTACACACCAGCATTAACTTGTCAAAAAATGCTGTAGGAAAAAAACATCTCATTTACAATAACTACAGGAAACATAAAACACCTAAATTACTGCATAGGACCCATATGCAAAAATCTATAAAATAGTACCAAAGAACTAGAAGAATTAAATAGAGAGGTACCTCACTAATTGGACAAGAAAATTTATAATGTGAAGCCTTAAGTTCCACCCAAATTAACATACCAACTCAAATAATTCTTATCTGAATCACTGGAATTTTATGAAGTATAACAAGCTAATTCTCAAGTTCATGAGGAAGAGAAAATGTGCCAGAATAGCCAAGATAAATATCGACAAAGAGAACAATGAGTGACAACATGCCCTCTCCTGTGTGAGCAATTGTAGTAAACTGACTTGCTGTTTTGTTCGAATGCTTCCATCTTGTTTGGATCTTTTAGAAAGAGAGTATGTTCGTGTAGTACTTGGAATACACATCACCATTTTCTTCTTTCCCAAAATATTTGTCCAGAATTATTTGGTACCAATTGTGACATATTAACTTCTGAGCTGCATTTTATAGGCAATGCATTACTAATGATTGAGGTTAGGGAAAAAAGTAAAATTTTAAAAAGAGCATCACAGCACCTTTATGAACAAGAGACATGAGCTGAAGTCAAAGTGAACTAAGGAACCCTTTAAGAAAGGCAGTGTGTCAATCTCTCTACAAGCCGTTACCTCCACTTCATGCACAGGACAAGTCACCCCGGAGTCGGTTGGGAGGGCCTGTCTTACCACCACCATGCGTGACAGGCATTGTCATGGGTCTCACTGCCGCACAGGGACTGGGGCCGTGCCTCTTCAAAACCAGACTCTTCTGGCCAACAGTCTTATCCCGTTCCTCTGCCTCATTACCCCAGATGCCAGCAGGCGCCGGACATCCGGGCACTTTAAATAAGCAGGTTAAGCCGTTCCATTTTATTTGAAACAGATGCACAAAAGGAACCTATGAGGAAAATAGAATTCATGTTTTATGCGAAGATTACCTTCTGTACACGCATTCACAAGAAACTGAGTATGAATAAGTGGAGAACGCTCCCAGCCATTCCGTGCGGACCTCTATCACCACCCTTGTCTGCAATTATTTTAATTATTTATTTACAGCCCTAGGATGCGCTTCTCAAGGCAGAAATACTCAATAAATATTTGTTGAGGACATGAAAACAGAAGAGAGAGAAAGAAATTCCTGTTATCTCCGAAACTCATTGTTCCTTCGACCTACACGGTGACTCCCTACCCAGGAGCACAGTGTCCTGTGTAAGGGATGGTCACTCAACCACTGCTGTCCACACACACCAACGGTCACCCAGGAGCACGGCGACCTGTGTTCAGGGGTGGTCACTCAACCACTGCTGTCCACACACGCCAACGGTCACCCAGGAGCACGGCGTCCTGTGTCAGGGATGGTCACTCAACCACTGCTGTCCACAAGGAGCACGGCGTCCTGTGTCAGGGATGGTCACTCAACCACCAGGGATGGTCACTCAACCACTGCTGTGCACACACGCCAACGGTCACCCAGGAGCACGGCGTCCTGTGTTCAGGAGCACGGCGTCCTGTGTTCAGGGATGGTCACTCAACCACTGCTGTGCACACACGCCAACGGTCACCCAGGAGCACGGCGTCCTGTGTCAGGGATGGTCACTCAAGGCTCACTGTTGTCCACACACGCCAACGGTCACCCAGGAGCACGGCGTCCTGTGTTCAGGGATGGTCACTCAAGGCTCACGGCGTCCTGTGTCAGGGATGGTCACTCAACCACTGCTGTCCACACATGCCAACGGTCACCCAGAGCACGGCGTCCTGTGTCAGGGATGGTCACTCAACCACGTGTTCAGGGATGGTCACTCAACCACTGCTGTGCACACACGCCAACGGTGATGGTCACTCAACCACTGCTGTGCACACACGCCAACGGTCACCCAGGAACACGGCGTCCTGTGTCAGGGATGGTCACTCAACCACTGCTGTGCACACACGCCAACGGTCACCCAGGAGCACGGCGTCCTGTGTTCAGGGATGGTCACTCAAGGCTCACTGTTGTCCACACACGCCAACGGTCACCCAGGAGCACGGCGTCCTGTGCTCAGGGATGGTCACTCAACCACTGCTGTGCACACACGCCAACACCCAGGAGCACGGCGTCCTGTGTCAGGGATGGTCACTCAACCACTGCTGTGCACACACGCCAACGGTCACCCATAGCACGGCGTCCTGTGTTCAGGGATGGTCACTCAACCACTGCTGTGCACACACGCCAACGGTCACCCAGGAGCACGGCGTCCTGTGTTCAGGGATGGTCACTCAACCACTGCTGTCCACACACGCCAACGGTCACCCAGGAGCACGGCGTCCTGTGTCAGGGATGGTCACTCAACCACTGCTGTGCACACATGCCAACGGTCACCCAGGAGCACGGCGTCCTGTGCTCAGGGATGGTCACTCAACCACTGCTGTGCACACATGCCAACGGTCACCCAGGAGCACAGTGTCCTGTGTCAGGGATGGTCACTCAACCACTGCTGTGCACACACGCCAACGGTCACCCAGGAGCACGGCGTCCTGTGCTCAGGGATGGTCACTCAACCACTGCTGTCCACACACGCCAACGGTCACCCAGGAACACGGCGTCCTGTGCTCAGGGATGGTCACTCAACCACTGCTGTGCACACACGCCAACGGTCACCCAGGAGCACGGCGTCCTGTGTCAGGGTTGGTCACTCAACCACTGCTGTGCACACACCCCAACGGTCACCCAGGAGCACGGCGTCCTGTGTCAGGGATGGTCACTCAACCACTGCTGTCCACACACGCCAACGGTCACCCAGGAGCACGGCGTCCTGTGTTCAGGGATGGTCACTCAAGGCTCACTGTTGTCCACACACGCCTACGGTCACCCAGGAGCACGGCGTCCTGTGTTCAGGGATGGTCACTCAAGGCTCACTGTTGTCCACACACGCCAACGGTCACCCAGGAGCACGGCGTCCTGTGTTCAGGGATGGTCACTCAAGGCTCACTGCTGTCCACACTCGCCTACGGTCACCCAGGAGCACGGCGTCCTGTGTCAGGGATGGTCACTCAAGGCTCAGGGATGGTCACTCAATCACTGCTGTGCACACACGCCAACGGTCACCCAGGAACACGGCGTCCTGTGTCAGGGATGGTCACTCAACCACTGCTGTCCACACACGCCAACGGTCACCCAGGAACACGGCGTCCTGTGCTCAGGGATGGTCACTCAACCACTGCTGTGCACACACGCCAACGGTCACCCAGGAGCACGGCGTCCTGTGTCAGGGATGGTCACTCAACCACTGCTGTGCACACACGATGGTCACTCAACCACTGCTGTGCACACACGCCAACGGTCACCCAGGAGCACGGCGTCCTGTGCTCAGGGATGGTCACTCAACCACTGCTGTGCACACACGCCAACGGTCACCCAGGAACACGGCGTCCTGTGTTCAGGGATGGTCACTCAAGGCTCACTGTTGTCCACACACGCCAACGGTCACCCAGGAGCACGGCGTCCTGTGCTCAGGGATGGTCACTCAAGGCTCACTGTTGTCCACACATGCCAACGGTCACCCAGGAGCACGGTGTCCTGTGTTCAGGGATGGTCACTCAACCACTGCTGTCCACACACGCCAACGGTCACCCAGGAGCACCGCGTCCTGTGTCAGGGATGGTCACTCAACCACTGCTGTGCACACACGCCAACGGTCACCCATAGCACGGCGTCCTGTGTTCAGGGATGGTCACTCAACCACTGCTGTGCACACACGCCAACGGTCACCCATAGCACGGCGTCCTGTGTCAGGGATGGTCACTCAACCACTGCTGTCCACACACGCCAACGGTCACCCAGGAGCACGGCGACCTGTGTTCAGGGGTGGTCACTCAACCACTGCTGTGCACACACGCCAACGGTCACCCAGGAGCACGGCGTCCTGTGTTCAGGGATGGTCACTCAACCACTGCACACGCCAACGGTCACCCAGGAGCACGGCGTCCTGTGTCAGGGATGGTCACTCAACCACTGCTGTGCACACACGCCAACGGTCACCCAGGAGCACGGCGTCCTGTGTTCAGGGATGGTCACTCAAGGCTCACTGTGCACACACGCCAACGGTCACCCAGGAGCACGGCGTCCTGTGTCAGGGATGGTCACTCAACCACTGCTGTCCACACACGCCAACGGTCACCCAGGAGCACGGCGTCCTGTGTTCAGGGATGGTCACTCAACCACTGCTGTGCACACATGCCAACGGTCACCCAGGAGCACGGCGTCCTGTGTTCAGGGATGGTCACTCAACCACTGCTGTCCACACACGCCAATGGTCACCCAGGAGCACGGCGTCCTGTGCTCAGGGATGGTCACTCAACCACTGCTGTGCACACACGCCAACGGTCACCCAGGAGCACGGCGTCCTGTGTTCAGGGATGGTCACTCAACCACTGCTGTGCACACACGCCAACGGTCACCCAGGAACACGGCGTCCTGTGCTCTGGGATGGTCACTCAACCACAGCTGTGCACACACGCCAACGGTCACCCAGGAGCACGGCGTCCTGTGTTCAGGGATGGTCACTCAAGGCTCACTGTTGTCCACACACGCCAACGGTCACCCAGGAGCACGGCGTCCTGTGTCAGGGATGGTCACTCAACCACTGCTGTCCACACACGCCAACGGTCACCCAGGAGCACGGCGTCCTGTGTTCAGGGATGGTCACTCAACCACTGCTGTGCACACACGCCAACGGTCACCCAGGAGCACGGCGTCCTGTGTTCAGGGATGGTCACTCAACCACTGCTGTCCACACACGCCAACGGTCACCCAGGAGCACGGCGTCCTGTGCTCAGGGATGGTCACTCAACCACTGCTGTGCACACATGCCAACGGTCACCCAGGAGCACAGTGTCCTGTGTCAGGGATGGTCACTCAACCACTGCTGTGCACACACGTCAACGGTCACCCAGGAGCACGGCGTCCTGTGCTCAGGGATGGTCACTCAACCACTGCTGTCCACACACGCCAACGGTCACCCAGGAACACGGCGTCCTGTGCTCAGGGATGGTCACTCAACCACTGCTGTGCACACACGCCAACAGTCACCCAGGAGCACGGCGTCCTGTGTTCAGGGATGGTCACTCAAGGCTCACTGTTGTCCACACACGCCAACGGTCACCCAGGAGCACGGCGTCCTGTGTTCAGGAATGGTCACTCAAGGCTCACTGCTGTCCACACTCGCCTACGGTCACCCAGGAGCACGGCGTCCTGTGTCAGGGATGGTCACTCAAGGCTCACTGCTGTCCACACTGCCGATGGCGAAGCCACTTGCTGGTAGCCCTCAGTCGGCAACCTCATCAAAACAACCTGGTTACAGTTTCATTTCCGTATCCAGGCTCCCGATAGCCCGGCACTGTTAGATGTTACCTTTAGTCTGTACTAGTCCTACCTCCAACATTATGGTCTTTTTTTTCAGGCTTATTTAAAGCGATTTTCCTCCTTCCCACTCTGCCAATTGCAGCCATGGATACTAATGGGGCGTCTTCAGTTTATGTTCCCGGGACAAATTTCTTTAGAAGTAAACTTCTGCCTTCCAGTCCCAAATTGTCCCCTCAATTACCTTTTACAACAGAGGAAAGACAGAAAGCTCAGGGTACTGCAAGCCAAATTTGAGGGGCCGGGGGCGTGTGTGCTCTGGGAGGGAGCGGAGCTGGGTCTGGGGACGCCTGCTCCCGTCCCCTCCGTCCCCTCCGTCCCCTCCGCCCCCTCTGTCCCCTCTGCTTCCCGGTGTCTCACCAGGAAAAGCCACCACACACCTTAAAAAGACACATAATCAGCTTTTTATACTTTCAACAAATAGCACAAATGACAAAATAAACACTTATTTATCAAAATGTCCACAAATTATTATTTTACGAAAGACTTATTTTCAGCTGTAGACGGACATTTGAGTTGTCATTTTTCAATATATGATTACTTCTAGGTGCCAGCATCCTCGCAGGTCTGAAGAGCCCTCAGTGGGACGCAACAATTCCTGGCAGCCCAAGACACAGGCAGGGGACAAGGAAAGGCAAAGTTCGAGGAATAGAAGACTGGACGTCATTTCTCTACTCAGACTTCTCCAACAGACCCCAACACACTTTACAGAAATCGCAAAGCCAAGGCCCCACGTGGCTAGACCTGCCCCTCCACACCTTCCCTGTTCTCTGGGGCCGCCTCTCCCCCTGCCCTCCCCATTGTTCGCTGCCCGAGCCACACGGCCCCTTCCTCTTCCTCCAACATGCCACCTCTGCTCCTGCCTCAGGCCCTTTGCACCTGCCACCACCTCTGCCAGGAACACCATCCTCCCCAGCTATCCACAGGACTTAGTTCATTCCAGCCAATTCCCACTGCGTCAGCCCCACTGCCCTGCTCTTTCACACTGCTTCTCCCCTGCTTCTCACCTCCTTAACTTGTCTTCACAGCAACCTCTCACCACACGACTGCTGTGCACATGTGTGTGTGTGCGTGTGCGTATGCATGTATGCATTTTCTGCCTGTCCTTGCTGGACTGTTGCGCAAAGTGAGCAAAAACTTTGAATTGTTCACCACTGCATGCCTTTGCTGGGACAGTGCCTGCCACTGAACAAATATGTGTTAAATTAATGAACACATCAGTATTGGGAGAGGGGAAAGGATTTCACGGAGCACAGAGAAAACAGGGATCTCCGATGACTGCTTTAAGCACCAACCTATCCAAATTGAAGAGCCATGAAATGGATCGCCCCTTGCCAATACAGCTTTTATTCTATTTCTGCATCTACTAGTGAAGCATCAGATTGATGCGTGCGGGAACTTGGGCTCTGAAGGGTAACAGTACCACTGAGCGAGCTGGCGGCATGGAAACAGCTGAACTCACAGCGCTGGGGGATGGAAAGAGAAAACGCCTCGACATAATCAGGGATGCAGCTCACAAAGGAATAGAGTAAGAAGAGTTCTGAAAGCAGCTTGGGCGGCTCCACTTCCGGGCCAGGACACCCACGGGGACCGGCAGGGGACATAAACGAGTGACGCAGCCCGAGATGAAGGGGCGGGTGTGCTGGGACAGCGGAGAACTCGACAGCAGAGAGGACGGAGCGGTGGCGACTCAGCTGCACACGTTCGCTGTCGCCTCGGGAAAGGACCGGCACTGCCAGACCTTCCAATGTTTCGAGAGAAAATGGAAATCTGATTTTTCGTGTGAAACCATATGATGTGAAACTACATGGCAGCCAATTTTTAACAGCACTGAACCAGGGAAACGCTGAGCAAACCAACGCACCTGAGGGTCAAATCCATGGGTCGCCAGTTTGTAACCTGCCCTTAAGAATAATGAAGACGGAATGCAGTCAGGCCTGAGGATCGGCCACTTGGGTTTAGGTGTAACTAAAGTTAGTTCTAGTCAGTTTGCTCAGCTGCTGAGCAGGAATGACATCTGCCACCCGGGGGGTTGTGAGGCTTGGATGAGAAGAGCGGAGGCAGCTAGGGAACAGGCAGAATGAGCTTCTTTACCACGTGGTACATTTGCCCAGTAATTGCAGCTTCCTCTGAAGCACCGTATGCATGGGGTCTGTGCACACGTCTAATGCATTTCGGTTTGTTTTCAGAACCCAAACGCACCCACGTAACCAGCACCCAGATCAAGAAGTGGAAGTTACGCCAAGCTCAGAGCCCTCCCTGGAGAGCCCTTTCAGCCGGGTCTGCCCGCCCAAAGCACAACCTCAGTCATGACTTCTCTGCCCTAAGCTAGTGTCGCCTGTGTTGTACTTTACACAAGTGGAATCGTGCAGAATGTTCCACACATACGCGCACAGAACTTTGTGCCTATTAAACAGTTCATTTTGCTGACACACGTTTGTGAGATGTGTTCGCAGTTGTAGAGGGTCCAATCCCATTGCTCAGTGTGTCCCGCTGTGGGAACGTTCCACAAATTCTGCATCCATTCCGTTACAGGCGGACACTGGGTTTCCCAGACGTCGACTACTATAAATAATGTCGCTGTGAACATCCTAGTACATATCTTTTGGTGAAGCCGTGTGTGGACTCTTGTTGGGTGCATTCCTAGGAATCAAATCGCAGAGTCACAGAGCACTGTGAGGGTGCAAGGCTTTACCTCTACCCTCTCAGGGCCTCCACCCAGGCCTAAAAATTAAACCGGCGTAAGACAGATTAACAAGAGAAAACAGAATTTTTTTACCTGTGCTTTGGAGCCCCCACAGGAAAATGAAGACCCAAAGAAGTGTCAACACCTAAGTGCTTATATACTAGGTTGACCAATGATGGTAACTGTGGAAAAGTAACTAAATATAATACATGGGGAAACCAAAGGAAGATAAGAGTTATGTTAACAAGGTCTCTCTGAACAGAATTCTCTCAGCCTTAACTCCCTGTCTCTGGTGCTAAGAATGTTCCTTTCCTCCTGGTAGAATGAGGGCGTCTTTCACACCCTCCTGCACCTGCTGTTCTTCAACTGCTTTTAGATTAAAATCATTCTCATGCCAAAATGGCATGTTTTGGGGTGGTGTATTCTGCGACCTTTTGCTATGCATGTGATTAACTTTAGCTGATACTATGAAGCACTGTACAAAGCAGTTTGTTGAGTTACACTGTAACTAGCTGTGTCGCTTCACATTCTCACTAACACTTGGTATTGTCAGTTCATGTACCTTCAGCAGTGTTGGAGGGATCCTTGTAATAACGGTTACTTTGCACTTCCCTTTGACTAACGAAGCCAAGCAACTTTCACATGATTGGCAGTCACTTGGATATTCCCTTTTATATAGTGTCTGGTCGAGTCTTTTAGTCTTTTGTTCATTTCTCTATTGGCTTCTCTGCTCTTTTCTTAATGATTTGTAGAACTTATTTTTAATTTTTATGTATTTGCTTATTTTTCTTCTCCTTCTATTGACTGCCCTTTCACCATTTTTATGGTCTCTTTTATAGAAGCTCTTAATTTTTAAAATGTTAGTTCCATCTATTTTGTTTTCCTTTAGGGCTAGCACTTATTGTACTCTAATAAAAAAAAAATCTTTTCTCCCAAGGAAAACGTTATGAAGATGTTTTCTTGAATTATTGTTTCCTAAAAAGCCTTATCGTTTTACCTTTCACATTTAAATCTGGAACTGATT